CATTCAAAAAAGTAGGCCAGCAAATTGAACTGAAAAATACTAATTTATTGGAGATATATTTGTTATCTTATATTTTATTCCAAAAGGTTCTAGTTAAATTTTTTCATCTTTAAAATGACAGGGAAAAAGAAAGTGTATGGGAGGTGGGAGAATTAAAAAAATGAAGAAAGAGGAATGGTGACTAGAAATGTATTCGAAGGAAATAACAGCTAGAACATTCAGAAGAGGAAAAGAATAAGATTGAATTGTATAAAAATAGAATTGTGTTCTATGGAAAAATAGAGGACTGAGCAGGGGTGGGGACAAAGGCAAATGAGAACCAAGGAACTGGAGGGAGTGGAGCATACGTCTGTGCACCCCTGGTGTTTGTGTGGGCCACTCAAGTGGTGGTGACAGGCTTCTTGACGTCAGACCTCTCATCTCAGGGTCAGAAATAGCCTCTCCCAGCTCCACATGTGCATAACAGCCTGTTCATGCTTCATAGAAAGGGCACCCTTCCAACAATGCCTGGCGCTTGGCTTGTGATCGGAGCATGTGTTAGGAAGCATGCCACTTATTTGAAGTGATAGGACAGAGGAAATAATTTGAACAATTTATATATGTATGTATCTATTAATAATCTTCTGATTGAAATGGTGGAGAAAAATAGTTGACAATTCTGCAGAAGTTGTTTGTTTTTTTCTGCAGCTGTTTTTATTTTTTTCTGTCTGGGGAAAAAAATTTTCATTTCATTTCATTTTAATTGAACATTCTAAATTTCAAAGCAAAGGTCTGTAATTCTTGCTTTTTGTTTTATTTTGTATATTTATAAAAAATTATGGTGAGAACTTGATTGTTTATAGAATTGTACTAAAAATAAGGAACAAGCATGTACTGATCTGTGCCATAATTGTATAAATATACTGTAACTATGCATTGATCAATAGTTTTCTCACTGTTAATTTAATAAGAAGTTCAGTTGTTTTATTTCTTTATTTATTGGAAAATAATTTCTGGAATACATTTTATATATGAAATATTTCTTGCAATCACACTTTTACTTTCTCGATCGCAAATGCATAATATATAGAAAGTATTGTAATGCGAAAGGAAAAGGTGCCGATTTCGCGACAAAAAAAATTGATTTGAGTTCCTGATAACGAAAAAGAGAACTTTTCTTGCTCCTGTAGAAATATTACCCAGGGGTCTGAAACGAATGACGCGCTACGTGCGATAGTTCGAGGCTGAAGTACAAAGGTTGTGGGAAATTTTAAAATTGCAACGGCACGAGCATATGCATGCAATGCATGTTCGGTAGAAATAAATAAAATGTTTAACTTTTCATTGTGAAATATGAAATTCTTGTTCTTATGTACTAAAATTAATCAGTGGTCGGCCGATCGGCTACTTCTGATTAAAGAAATTTATATTGGTTGTCATTGCACAGATAGTATCTTATTACCAAGAGCAGCAGCTTTGATGGCTTAAGCATTCTCTGTAGTGGAGTTTTATTTCATTAGAAATGCCAACGATAACGCACCACAACACCCATACTTCTGTTTAGGCAATTTTCGCTCGCAAACGGCGCTGAATGAACGCTTATATCAATCTGCATGTAGTATATTACTTTCCCGAATAGTGTAGGAAGAATCCTCGTTTTGGGCGTCTTGAACATCGAAAGAAACCCCGTTTTCGGCGAAATGTCTGTCCAACCAATATTAACCCAAAAATCGCTCGTAGGATTTTCTTCAAAATTAATACTCCCAGATCGATTTGGCAATTTTATATGTATGGCAAAATGTTTTCAAAATATGAGTAGTTTCGCGTAATTTCGAGTTAAAAATAAATACAATTAAAAATGTAACATTGTTTCGTTGAAAACTGCTCCCCAGTTTTTCTTGTAGCTTTTTCTGCGGATAGAACGCTGAGCACTAATCCACATGATATAATAGCTTTTTTGATAGTAATTTTTAATTTAAAAAAATAACACTAAAATAATCTCCTGCGTCGTTAATATTTACTGTACAGGCGTGATTTTATAATTTAATGCATTAGTAAGCACAAATTATTCAAATCTCTTATGATTATTTTCGAATGTTCAAAAGTTTTAGTGCAGTTTAGCCCAAAAACGCTTAAATGACGGAATTCGGAAATGACTCCAAACTTTTACTGAAAAATGTCCTGTGTGAGGTCGTTCTCATCTATGTGTTCATAAACCCCTATTTCAATTAAACTATTAGGGGAGATGTAGAAAATATTTCTCAAATTATTAATTGAGATTTCCATACATATTAAATATTACATTTTTTGTAAGTTTGTTTAATTTTGACCTCATTTTCATTAACGAGTGTTAGATTAATACGTTTTGAAGATTACTTCGTTTACACCGTTGTTATCGCTATTGTTGTTAGCACTCACTGGGTCCTTACAGTGCGGATGGGATCTTTTGAAAGTAGTTCAAAATTAAAATATCGGTTTTAATAAAACGTCCCCAAACCATGGATTTTTTATAACCTTAACCCCAAACGTCTAGTTACTATTAATATTCCCGTTAGAGGTAATAAAAGATGGTCGCGTTTATTAATTGAAATTAAACTGACAATATTTTTTTTAAAAAATCAGCATAATTAAGAATAGTTTTGTTATCTAATTGGACAATCAAAAAAATATGGACTGCATTTATGAACGAAACCTTTATTTTCTGTATTTTCACCCTTGCTTACTTTGGTCTGAGGAATCTCCAATTTATGGATATTCCAAAATTATTGAAAGTTTTTATTATAGTACTATTTTTCATTCAAAATCGAATGTCAACTATGTAAAAAAACAAAACATCGATTAAAAAAATCTTCCTCAAAAAATTGACAAATACATCGGTGATGTACCACGCAAAGCTTGCGGAAAACAAGGTATTACCCCGGCGGCGAAAGCCTGATTTTGAATTTAGCTCAGATGCTCCTTACTAGCAGTAAATCAACATGGGACAGTCGGCTTTAATTCCCCTCCGAATATAGGCGAACGAAGAATTGTTTCTCGTGTCGAATTGGACATTCCTGTGTTTCGCCCGTGATTGTGTGGAGCGATTAATGGCTGTGTCTAATTTTGCAATGTTGGTCCAAAATTATTGTAATCTACACAACTGCCCTGGGTTCCAATTAATCCAGGATTGGGCATAAGGATAATGAACAACGAAGTTTTATAGATGAACGAATTTTGTCCGATGAAAACTTTGATGGCAATGACGCTCGAAGTAAGAACACAAGTATTTGAAAAAAATGACACTTTCCTGTCACGTGATTGTGAAAACGATGAGTTTAGAGTGGTATAATTACAAATCCATTATGCTGTTTTACATGTATTTTAAATGTCCGTTCCTCTCGCCGTCCGCCCGGCCATCAACAAATCTAGCGGCTAAACCCTTGAGCCGATTTTCTCCAAACCAACATGATAGAAAGTCTGTGCCATTTTGTAGCATCAGTAATAATCTGGACATTTAATGAATACATATATTGGGAAATAAGTTTTATTGACATCAAACACATGTACAGGGGTTGAAGATAACTTTTTGCCAATGAACATGTGAGAAATATAACGAAGTGGCAATTGTGACATTTGCCCCTGATTGTCAGGTAACTCCTCATGCATTGGTGTTCGGCAGGTCACGTTATGACGCCTTCTGAGGGACTTCATTTACCTCAAGACCTGTATAATAATAAAAGAGTAGTCTAAAACGAAAATGTCGCCTTTCAAGTTTTAATTAGAATATTCGTTATGAAAATTGAATTGAAAAACTTGAAACGGAATGCTATTTGCTGCCCAAGATGTTATTTAAAAAAATCATTAACATATCACTTTTTCAGTTTAATGCAATCCCAGAGATGTATTCATTTCTTTAAATCACTTAAAGAATTTTTGGATAGGTGTTTATTTGAATCAGTACTATTTCTGAGTAGCACATTCTGTGTGTTTACCACTATACCATCTCTTAAGAAAAATGCCCTCATGATGTTGGAAACCCAAATTATTTCCACCTACATAGTTGGTGAGGTGGTGGCTTGGCAGATGACATACTTGCATAAACATGTGTGGTTGGACTCCTATATAATTAGCTTCGTGTGGGAGAAGTGGAATGTTAGTTACTCTTTGAGTGCATTCAGAAATAAAGGAAATAAGAGTTAAGAGGGATGTATGAGTCTTATGGAATGACCCCAATATTTAGAGATCTAGGTTCATTGCAAAAAGGTAATTTCTTTCAAACAAGGCAATTTTGAGAATGTTAGCTGGAAATGGATATTGTATTAGCTGATTTATATAGAAAAGGTTTCGTGTCATGAATGTTTTACATTTGACTGACTCCATTTCACTTATATATTCAGCTTAAATGAGGGTTTCCATTCCAAACATAAAAGGAAATTTCTATGCAAATATAAAATACGGAAAACTCTGTTTCTCATACTTTTATTTGTACTTTGTGTATAAAGGAGATGTATAGTATTAAATTTGAGATTTAAAGATTTTTATTTCTTGTTGTTTACAGTTAACGAATTAGGTAATATATTCAGTAACGTGCATTATTACTTTTTTAGCTTAAATAAAGGACCTACATTGAGAGATTTAATTTACATTTATTTGCTTGTAAAATAAATTAAAATCTTTTCTTTAACATGAATACCTTTTTTTTTAAATTTTTTTTTTATAAGAGTTCGTTATTGAAACCTTTCATATTTGATCAAAATCTATTCATACATAATATACTCTTAATGGATAGAGACCTGAATTGTGAAATGATGTTGGGTTTTTTAAATTTTGGTGTCCAAAGAATGTCAGTGTTAATTTGTAATCTTGTTTACACCATTCATTCAAAACTCAGAGAGAACCCTTTAATGACTGTTCCACATGGTTACCAGAATATGCAGTCACAGTGACCACCACATCTTGTGGGGCTATTTATAGCCCCAGACTGTCTAAGAATAGCACCAAGTGGCTGCCACATGTGTAACAGTTTCTGTTTGTGTCCCAAGGTTCCATTCACCTGCTGCTGGGGCCGGAGGCTGTCCACCCACACGAGGTGCTGGCACAGAGCCTGCAAGAGGCCTCTTGCCATTGGCTGGCCCCTGCCTGCACCCGATTGGCCCTCTTCTCCCCTGGAGGTGGAGAGCGCGTGGTGACGGGTGAGTGTGAGCGGTGAGGGCAGTTGCCGCTGGGCGATTGCACTTGGGAGCGCGTTCTTAACCAGCAGGACTGTGGTTAACACAAGCAGTTTTGTCACTTTTTGTATTATGTGGACTGTGCAAGAAATTTTAATAGTTTTTAATTGTCAAATATTTTGTGTGGGTGGTGATCAGTTATCTCACGTTTAAAATAATTTCTGCAAAAATTCACTGAGAGTCTTTCTCATCCATTTATCTCTCAATTGTGGATTCCCCCTCCCCCCAATTGGTTGAAATTTTTTTGCCTAATATTTTATTTCTGTAACCAGAAGAAAAATACAGATTTTGATACGTATTCTGTTTAAAGAAACATTTGATGTGCGTAAAATTAGTTGCACAACCTGTTGGCGTGAAAACGTGCCCCCTAGAGAGTAGTGCAATTGTGTTGTTGAGGGCAGAGGGGAGTTATAGTGTGTTGATTGTGTGGTGTTTTTGCCAACCAGGAAGCAATGTCATTCCCTAATAAGGGTGACCGTGACAAGTGCTGGACTGCTCGTGATCGTTATTGGGAGTGTCTGGACCTGAACCTGGAGGAGCGTGAACGCTGCTTGAAGCAGAGGCAAGTGTACGAGTCATCTTGCCCAGCTCAGTGGGTAAGTCTAGTTACATTAATGTGTTGTAATCACCACCACTTTGTTTTTGTATGATCAGTTCATAGCCAAAGTGTAGTTGTCAAAACATTAGCTGAGTAAAACTTTAACAAATCAAATAAATTGGCCATTTGAAATGCTCAAATATACAATGGTATTAACATAATAATTCAAGAGATGCAATTTTGCTTGTGTAAAAATCTTGTGTATAATTTTCAATTAATGTGTCAAAAAGGTTTACTGTTAGCCAGCCAACCATTAACAAAGAAAGCAAGAAAATGAAATATAACTGCTCACTGCTGCAATATACAAATGATAGCTTATACATTATTTTGTGGAACATTAATAGATAGACTTAGGCAATAAATAAACTTTGCTTTTTTCAAAACTAGGTACTACATTGAGTTTCGTAGCAAAATTATGAGGGGGGGGGGCAGCATTAATACTAGACTATAAAACAATTTTCAATTATTATGGGAGATTGCTTTCAGTGGTATAGTTCCTATTTTTATTCATTAGAAAAATAATAAATTAACTGCCTTTCTTTACACACAAAATACAGGAAAGACAGAGATCCTGCAATTACTAACTGTGAGTGGTGGTGGAGTGAGTGGTGGTGGAGTGAGTGTGGTGGAGATGAGTGGGTGGTGGAGTGAGTGGTGGTGGAGTTTTGATTGCGGGTGAAAGTAACATCTTATCTGAATTGGTCATAATTGAAGAGGATCACCTTCAGCAAATTTTTTTTAGAATTAAGGGATATAATCATAACATCATATTGGGTGTGTATACATCCCTCCACAATCCCACCTTGATATTTATTGTGAACATTTGACAACCATCTCCAATATACAAGAAAAAAATCCAAACTGCAGATTGATTATAACTGGTATTATAACATTCACAGTAGTCTACCACAATTGGATTATGAACCTTTCCTCTATGAAAGATTCTATTTGTTGGAATGTTCTCAGTTAAACAACATTTGTAATAACCAAGGTTGATTACTAGACCTTTGCTTCAGTGACTTGGGTTACCAGTGCCTTGGATATTATTGACCACTCCTAACTGTTGTGCTTTGGTAATCTCTAACGGATTCTTGACGAGTTTTTAAATCAACCTCTAAAGTGGGTATTTTCATATTTTACTTTTGAAAAAACTGTTCGTAGCGCTTAAACGTACCGATTTCCAAGTTAACGTTTTGAAACATAATTATATCTAATATCATGTTGTTTTTATGCAGGTCTCAAAATGGTATTTGCTTTTAAAACCCTTCTTGAAAATATGCAAACTATAAAAACATTTTTATGTCTGTGTCAGGTTAATATTATTAACAGCTAAGTTTGTAAATTTTAAATCTTGAACTGAAATCAATTATTTACAAAGTAGTAGTTATTTGTAACTTATTTACCTGAGAAATAATATAATAAAAAGGAAGCTTACAAATATCCTCAAGTTTAACAAAATTATTTTTTTTTTCCACCCTAATTTCTGGTAATTATTTGTCAACAAACATTATATAGTACAAACATTTGTCAATAACACATTATGTAGTTAGATAATTCATAGTATATTAAGTTTTTAAATCTTTGCATATTCAAATGAATTGCCACTTTCTCAAATGGTATTAATAATATAAACCATGGCAATGACTGATAAATATTACTAATTTGAAAATTGTCATATTACTGGAATTGAATGCATGAACTGCTAGTGAAGTAATGTTAACTGTTTCATGCTGTTCTTGTTAGAAGATTTTAAGTCTAGTATTTTTGAAATCAGCTGTGTGCGACAATTCTTCTTCTTGTCATATGTAATTCCAAAAGCACTTTCATTTAAACCTTGCAATAAAAGATAGTGTTTAACAAATAAAATTCATGTCGACCACATTATGTATCCAGTGTCTTTAAAAACATATTTGAAAAAAGAATTTCTTTTCACTGTATTTATCATACACCTTGTGTATTGCATTTACACACTTCTTTATAGTGTCCTTCCTGTTCCATTTTCTGTAGCTTGGCAAAATTCATTTGTTATTACATATTAGGAGCACCCAAGTTTGCTTGCTTTTGTGTTTACAAGTACTTTTATAAGCATGTTTCATTTGAAAAGTTTAGTTTTGAACATCAAAGAAAATTGCCAGTTATTGGCCTGAGGAAACTAATATACGGAATGATTGTGTGAAATCAGCCTAATCAAATTCAATGTGTGATTGTCATTTCCTAATGAATTATTATAATCATATAGGTTAATTTATAATTATAAAGCACTGAAGTATTTGTAGGTAAACTTCATAACTAAGTGGAGTATAAAAAGTAAAAACAATGTTGAACATTTTCCGCAATACTCCTTTTGAATTTTGTGTTTCTATATTCCTGATTCTCTCCTAACTTGCCCAGTATACTGAACTGCTATATTTTGTAGTAATAAAGGTGCTCAAATGGAATGTAGTTCAAAAGTGTTGTGGCAGAGAGTGCCTCATGATACTTCTAATAGGAGGGTGGAAGGGAAGGGTTGGCAAAATTGAAGATAAAAGCAAAACATATTTATTGTACTTCGTAGTAAGAACTGAGAAGAATGTAGAAATAGTGGTCAATAACCAAAGGGCCAGAAGTGCATTTGACCCAGAAATGCATATTAGTAATTATGTATTACATTCTGAACTGCCACACTAGTAAACCTGAAACTGTATAGTGAGTGAACCACTATGCGTTTCCTAGATTTCACAATTCATTCTTGGATAGAGTTGAAAGTAACTTTAAAATTGCTTGTTCTGCACTAAATAAAAAAGATAAAATTTATTTGTGAGATAACATGTAATTACTGTGATATATGGCTTGCTGATGTTCTTTCTTTTCCTTTCATTTTGTCTCTATTTGCTCCTTTTTCTTCCTCACTTGGTTTTCTTAGCTCTCTTCCTCCCTATCCATTTATACCTTTGACTGAATTCTTACCAAGTAGTGTTGAGTGCGAAAGTAGAGGGCACTGCCTTCAGGTAGCTTGTATTCAAACTTTCCTTTAAGGTAATATGCATGTTTCAGGGAACTTGGCCATAATTACCTTACACATGCAGCTTTCAAAGAAAATACATATATTTGTTATTGTAATTTATATTTGGTAAAAAAGATTAATTATCTATATTTTAAATATGGTAAAATGCAGATCTGTGATCTAGAATTATTCACATAGGAACTACTAATAAAAAAATATAAATGCAATGTGAAAGCTAAATTCATAACTTTCATTTCATAATTTTCTGTAATATGCCAGTCAACTATAATATGTTCAAATGCAGTATGCTTATTATGAACTTGCGGAACACAAATTAAACTTGTGCCAGGCAAAGATATGCAAACTTACGCCAGGCAAAGACAATGCTAAGCAAAGACAATAAGTAGTAGACATGTTGTCTGACAACCAATCTCTACCCATCACCAATAACAGGCCAGAGGTTGATGGACTGACAATATTATTGAAAAACGTGAAAATTCTTGAGGATACTTTTACAACATTCAAGCTACCAAATGTTCTGAGTATAACACTTTTTCAGCCAATTACAGCAAATTACTTTTGCGAAAAAAATGGTAGAATTATTTACTTTTTGTTAATTGTGTTCTTGTGTGTAAATGCATATGACCGCAGAATCCATGCGTGCTGCCCGAAATGACTGAGGGCTTTGGTGCCATTGCAACGTCTCTGGCCAGGTTGTTCGAGAGCTCGAGTCCTCACGTTTGCTAATTTTTGACAGTATCTGGATAGTAGGTGAAATGTAGCTGCTGACTTGAGAAACGTGCCTGCGGGCTGTTCTGATCGGGAGGTTCCCGTGGTTTTTCATTTCCGAAGTAGGTGGCTGACGGATCCTGTGTGTGGCCCGCTTGTTGAGGAAGGGGGCAAACGGTCCCCGGCTGGCGCGCTATGTGCCCTCGGAGGGGGGGGGTGAGGAATCGCCTTGCGTAGGTGGTGGGATTTTGCGGAGAGTTTGTAGAGATGACACGGGCACCTGAGTTCACGGGCGCAGCGATCCTAGGTTCGCTCCGTTTGCTTCAAGTGGGGGCAAGACGTAAGGCGATTCGCTAAGCTCCGTTTTGCAGGTGTTTTTTTTTTTTTTAATTTGTTGTCTATGTAGAACGGGAATCCTAGCTCCTTGGAGCGTTGAGGGCACAGTGGAGTAATCCTCCGTTAATTCCTGTAGAAGTAATCATCCGTTATTACCCTCTTACTTACTCTCTGGGGGCCGCTGGGTAGTCAAGTCACGTGTCATAGTCAATTCAGAGTATCGCTGACAGGTACCATCTTAGTGCTCGCGTCTCCCACGCACCCTGCGTCATCTACCCATCGGCCAGAATTGGGAAGGCATAAGGATAGGGGTAAGGTTTAGGACGCTTCACGGGATCATTAGCCCCTATGAAGCTTGCAAACTCGTTTTGTCGTAACAAATTTCACATGAGATTCTACGGGAATCGAACCCGGAACCTTAGTGGTGAAAGGCAAGCGACTGAGCCACGAGAGCGAGGTTCGCCCGGTAACTCACCAGTTGAGTCCCTGGCGCGACGATCTTTGGGCAGGCGTGGGCGATGGAATGCTCCGGTACCATCATATAGAACCGGTACCCCGATGGGGACCAGATACCCCCTCCCAGAGTGCCTAGATTGTCGCAGTACTAACGCCAGTAGCTTCATGGTGGAGGCTGTAAGGGTGCGCGAAGGGAGCCCTGAGCCGCCCGGAGCTTAGTGCGGGTGGCCTTCCTGTTGTGCGCTGGGCTTCGTCGTGGCAGTAGCCCGAAACTGGGCGAAGGGAAAGGACTTGTCCTGGCGCATATGAGTAGCGCATTGTTTGGACTCCGGTACCAGCCCGGATAGCTAGGAGCTGTGAGCTGTCAGGGCGGCCCAACCCAGGCATTGAATGGGGAGGTTTGCAACTGCGTTCCGGAGGGATCCGGATACCAGCCTGGCGGCATACTCGTGCACTGGCGGGGGTGCCCTCTCCGGTGACATGTGCTCCCCGAT